AAGTGAAAGCTTCTTTGTGCAGAAGTAGGTTCAAGGAAAGAAATACATACTTTGGCAGTTGCCATTTTGGTAAGTTTTTAAAGTTGCTTAAAGCTGAGTCCTTGGCTTGGACTGTTCATTTCATCCCAGATAATGAGGAATGGGCAGAAGAAAATACTCTCGACTCTGAGCTGTAAGTGTGGTTGGCAGTACCCGTATGCTGAACTGATGTATCCATAGGTTTAAATTCACTTCAACAATTCCATAGCTCATGTAAGTTTCAAATATAATTTATTAAAACTGCTGCCCAGAAAAAAACTATTTCAAAAACATCCCTGTTTTGTGAAAAGTATATCTCACAATTAAAACTGCTCAGGCAGTGAGATTGCCCACTGCTTTGTCTTTACATTTTAATGTGTTTATTTATAGGAACATGATTTTTAAAAGTGCACACAACAAACATCATTGTGCTCTCCAGGCAAATTCATAAGATGGACTAGAATCTCCATTTGTCTGTGCTGTGCATGCTCATTTAGATTATGGTAAAGTGGGTATAAAACACTACTGGAACACAATGCAAATGATGTATGCCTCTTTGCAATGAGATAAACGATTATATGTGGTATTAGAGCCATAATTTTATGCTTGTTAGTCATCCAGTTTTGATTAAGGGAGCATTTGTTTTAAGAATAAGTCTGCACTGGTGTTCCTATTTTTCTTTCTGCTGCAAGTTGTATCTTAAAGAGCAGGACAAAAAACAATTTAAGAATAGGACAGTTAGGGCTGATGTGGTGAATCAGCACAGCACAGAGCTGAACCAGCTGAAGAGGTACCAAATGGAACTGTTGGTTACTGGCTTCAAAGGTAATTTGGGTTTAAAGGTACTAGGGTCCTTGATGTAAACACTGGGAATTTCAATATTCCTCATAAAATGCTGAAGTTGACACAGAATGTTTGCCTTCCTAACACCAAAACCTTTTCAGATTAATTCCACAATTGTACATATTGTGGGATTTTTGATGGTTCCAGGAGAGTTCAACAGTTGCATACAAGGCAGATATTCTTGAACCAAGTCAAAATTAAAGGAGGGAAGAAAGAGACCTTTTAGCCAGGATCATACAAGAAAGAGATTTAAAAATTTACTGCTATCTCCTAAATTTCTCTTGTGCAAGACTTACAAGTAAAATCAGGATTTTTTTTTTCCTTTCTAGATAATCAAGTTGATGTAACACAGAGGAGTTGTTATCCCTTCTGACAGATAAGATGGGTAACTCAAAGCCAGAAGGAAGTATTTCTTACATGAACCATGAGTAGAGGAGGTTGAACATGAGTGCCATATTCATTGCTATTTGGATTCAGGAAAATCCTGCCTGATGAAAAATACATGGAGGGGGTGTGTCTTCTCTGAATCCTAGAACTGAGTATGTGTTCACTCCCCTTAAAATGGACTAATTGATTCCTAGTGCTACCTGTGCATAAGCTTGTATGTGCACCAGAAAAAGAAAGGCATCTTTAAGTACATCTGAAGTTATAACTTTGGTCAAATATATGGGGAATGAAGGGTTTTGAAATACAAGTTATAAGCTAAGACTTTATATTGTATCTTAAGCAATCCACTTGCTCCTGTTACATATAGGCCTGCTAAGTAGGGTGCAAAGTTCTTACCAAAGGACTCACAAAGGAAATAGTCCAACATAATTCAGCTATTTCAAAGGACCTGTCATTTGGAAAGTGATGTAACCATTTGCAGTGTAGGTGTAAGGGCTTTAAATTCCCAGCTCCTGTGTCAGTCCCAGTGGAAGTGCTGCAGGGGTCAGCCCATAGGCAGGGGGCTGTAAGGATCCCGTGGCTTCCCTGCAATGGAGAGCCTGTCTGCAGAGTGAGCTCAGAGCTGGCTGGGGCAGCTTCTGCAAGCAAGGCTCCAGCCTTTGACAGTGAGATTCTCTGCTTGGAAGATGTGACTCCTGTTGAAGGGAGCAGGGTCCCCTGACATCTACTTAATGCACACAGGTTACTGTGAAATTTATGACACCAGAGTTTTCAGTCCTGGCAGAGTGACTTAATATATATTTAAACCTAGAATAGCCAGGACATATTTCATATCCTGGTTTTCTTTTTCCTCTAGATATTGCCAGTGTTTCAGTGAGCCCGCAGGGCACATTTTCCTGAAAGACAGATAGGCTTTTTCATGTAACACCCCATTAAGTAAAGCCCTTTAGCAAGGACAAAGAGTCTCTGAAGATCCCTTTCTGGCATAGGATGTTTACAGACTGAAACACAAAGCTGGATGTTTCTCTGAAAAAGAAAAAAATTCCTAAGTTCCTGCTTAATCTGCCGACTGCCCTGAAACATTCTGTTTATTTTGGTTTGATATTCCCCAGGAAGGCTTCTGATGCTTTTTCTTTAACCTCTTGCTGATGGCTTTGTCCATAGCTCTCAAGTATTTGTTATTGTGCCAAGTATTCATACTTCAGATGTATGTATATGACAGAGGTATTGGAAAAGGGCTGCTATAGATGTGCAAGGCCCTGAGAGCTTCAAAATTAGTGAGCTGCAGATGTAGAATAGTTATATTGTGATGGATTTCTCCTCCAGCTATAGAAATAGGGGGAAATATGCATGCAGTGGAGTGTGCACACGATAGTGTGGCTTGTCAGGGAACTTCTCTACAGAGTGGCAATTTGGGGTCAAAAGTAGCGCCTTGGTGCAGTGAAGTGATTTCATCAGCCTTGTCTCTCCTCTACTTGCATATGTGGCTTAGTAAAGAGCAGCAGAAGCAGTGGGAAAAGTGTAAAGTGTGACTGACAGTTTCAATGTATTGCTTGGCTGCAGAGCTATTTGAAACAAGTTGTACAATATGGAGCTGGTGGCCATGGGATTGGTGTCTTCCTGATGGACATGTTCCATGTTCTTAGCTTCAGATCAGATTTGAACAGCTTTTTTAAAATTTTTCTCTGCCTGCCAAATTGTTCCTCCTATCAGCAGTTCGCAACTTCAGTAGAATTTATTTCTTTCCACCTACCATGCACAGGAAATTTGACTCAGAAAGATGAGATGCAAATGCTATGCAGGGTTGACCTTTTCATTTACAGGGTAACTAATTAGCTTGACAAGTAACACATTTAGTAAAATACGTATGTGTCATTAGATGATCCAGCCTACCTCTTTATGGTGGCTCCCTAAAATACATTTTACTATTGCTGCAATTAACTGCAGGCTTGCTGTAGACTACAATAAGAGCAGGACTACAGACTTAGACCAAATGCAGAGTAACTTAATGTGCAGTCTCTGATCTGGCAACCTCATAGTTACTTCTTAGTTGTGCTTTGGCACCACAATGTCGTGCTGACTGAGTACCTTTTCCAGTTCTGCCTATTTTTGCAGTAAGACAGGACACATGTGTGGAATTTAATATTAACATTAGAATAGAAATATTTTTAAAGAAAATGTTATGGAAAGATAGAATTTCTGAGGTAGACTAAACTCAGGTATCAGTCTGGACAGGGTGAACCTGGGCAACTGGCTGGTTCCTTTGGCCAAACTACAGGATGCTATTTATGCATAGATGTTGTGCTGAGGTCTGTGCAGGAGGTGTAATTTATATTGTTACTTTGTGGCAACTAAGCAAAGAAAGACATGGTCATGTTAATTTTTACCATGGGTAACAACCTGGTTAACAATTTTTACCATGGGTAACAAGCCTTCAAAAGGTCTGAGGAGAGGTAGTTGTGCCCTCCATTGAAGGAAGGGGACAGAATTGGTTTTGTAGACACAAGAAATTGAAACAAATGGCCAAGAATTTGACCTGGGTCTTCCAAGCCAACAGAAAGAAGCTGGTCTTGTTGAAAATCTAAAGCCCACTCCTGTTTGCCTTTGGGAGTTATTTATTACCCTGAACAGATGTTCTCCACCACAGTTAACCTTGAATCCTGCATGGTTTGGGTCTGATGTAGGATGATTAGCATTCCCTAGCTCTGGACTGCAGCGTCTGGTTTTTGGTGCCACCTCACAGTATGGTGTGGCAACAGAGATAAATGGTGCCCTGCTGCAAATGGAATGCAGTGATGCTTTGCAATTCTAATGAACCCATCCTGTGCTCTTCAGTGTCCTTTAAACCTTGGCAATTAGGAAGAGTAAAGAAGGGGGAAAGTCTTACTAGAAGGGAGGCAACAGGGAAGCAGAGCCTGTGAATGCCTACAGAAAAGAGAGGAATTTAATTTCATACTGATATTTTGAATTGTCATGTTCCCTTTTCAGATATATTTTGGAAGATACTTATGTTTTTATAATAAAATATATCAGTTAACTGCTTCACTGTTTTATATGCTTTTTAATTTAATCTGGACCTGAGCCTGATGTTGCCATTACATCGTCTGCTTTGTCCCTCTTTATTTATCTTCTTCCTTGTCAACTTTTTGCCTCTTTGCCTTTAATGAAGCAGAGGTGGCAGCTTTGCAGATGGGAAACTAAATCACAGAGAAACTACGTGACTTTTTACATGACCTATGCACAGAAAATTAATAATCACTCTTATAGACAGGTGCAGGCACTACATGTAAGTACTGCAAATAGTTTAGCTATTTTGGCTGTGTTGATTTGGGGAAAGTTCAGATTTTATGAGAGAATGTTTGAGACATTAGTGCAAATTTTGTTATTTTCCTTACAGTTTTGCTGATGGTGCCTCCATTCAATGGAGGCTTTAAATACCTCTGGATTTTCTTCTGGCTACTCTTGGGTTGGATTTCTCTCCTCTACTAAAGTGCCATTGTAATGCTGCACTGGTTTTGGCTTTTGACATGGTCTCCTCATAGAACTACTTCATGCAGCTGTCTTTGTCCTCCCTGCTTGCTTTCCTTTTCCTTCATGTTAGCTTTTTTTCATTCCTAGTAGGCTTTTCTCATGCTCTTCCTTTCTTCTTTCTTTTTAGCAATGTCTCCTGTTTGAAATTTAGAGCAAGTCTTCCCTGTCTTCTGAAACATTTTACTCCTGTCCGATATTCAATTTGTTTTTTCTCCTCCTAGGAGCAGATGCTAGTCTGGGCTGAGATCATCCGCCAAAAGATTGCTTTGGTAATTGCTATGACAGAGAAGTTGTTTGTTTGTTTGTTTTCCATTCTGGTTTTGCTTTCTATTTTGTCCTTTTCTGCATTGGGCTGATCATTCTCAGTGAGCTCAGCAAGGTCACTGATGTCACTGACAGGCTTGTACAGAAGGGTGTCCTAAATTATCCATTTGAGGCATACAACAAAATGTGGGATGTCTATTGACAACTCTTAAGATTTTGTAAATACCAGCACTTTAGATGAAGCCTTATTATTGCTAGTTATCAGAACAAGAAGACTGCTTACCATGTTTTACTTATGTAACTGCATCAGGCCTTACATGCATACAGAAGTAGTCTGTGGGTAAATTGTAACCTTACTTAGCAGCATAAGGGGTCAGGAACTGGCTAAGACAATTTAAAATCAGGTTGCACCTATGGGTGTCATTGCTGAATTTTTAAAAGCGGGTTGATGATGTCTGAAAGCCTTGTTAGCAGATATCTTTGAGAAGGGAGAAGGATGTTGAGGTGCCATGAGGTGAATGAATGGCAAATATCTTTCAAGATACGTGAAAAAGGAGAGCAAGGACAATACAGACCTGTCAACTTCTTCAAAAGCCAGATGAATGATAATTGATGCTAGAGGCAAAATCTTATTTTGTTGGGATGTAAAAGGTTTTTGTATCGAGTGTGAGTTAAAAGTTAACAGATAAAGTCTGGCTGAGATACAGCTCTTCCCAGAAATATCTTGTGGCTCTGAAGGATAGAAATATCTTGGGGGATACAAATGATACAGAACAGGCCAGAACCTTCAGCCACAACCTTCTTCTTCTTCCAGAGGAAAAAACCTTCCTTTACTCATATGTTCATTGCAATACCTGGCATTTAGGTGTGCAATTGCAACATTTTTTCCATATACCAAAGTGTTTAAACTAAAGTTTAGCCCAGGTTCTTGGAGGTGAGAATTTAGCAATCAGCAAATGTACCGCTTTGCAGATGTGGCTAATTGTGTGACCCATGACTAAAGCACCATTTTGAGAGTGTGAATTGATTTCATAGATCTTTTCTCATTTTGCCTCATAAAAGGCAGTAATGAAAGAAGCGTCCTTGGGCCTACGAGAGTCAGAGGAATCTGTGGTATATCACCACCATTGGACAAGTTTGTTCTCAGCCCAGCCTACAAACCTTAGTGTCTGATAGGTAGCCAAATACTGGCATCTTTCTTTTGTGCTATCCATAGCCAAAAGCCCCCATCAGTGAACTGATCCTACCAGAGCAAATACTCCTGTTAGAATGGAGAAGAGCTGAAGTTTTGGTCTTACACCTCTGCTACAGGTCAAATAAATCACCCTGAATTTTCAGTACAATGACAGTGACAGCTCAGAAAAGCAATTCATTAAAGACAATTGCATTTTACCAAATAACTGTTGTCCAAAATAAAACAAAGGGTTGACTGAAGAAAGAAAGGAATCTAAAATAGTGTCGGAATAGATTGTCCTTTCCAGATCAAATTATTTTCTGGTATTTGCAGCACTGCTTTTGGGAAGTCTGCAGTGCTGTGGGTAAGCACCACCACTGGCCAGTTACCCATCTCATCCTCTGCAGCACTGAGGAGGAAGATGGTTTAGCAGAAATCACCTTTACCTCCATCTCTCACCCATGGGGCAGATGGAGTGTCTGAGGCCTTGATACTGCCTCTGCAAAGAGAGAAGGAGCTAGAGACATATTCAGCCCTACCAGCTTTAACTGTTCACATTTTGCACCATCTGCAGAACAGGAGAAAAGGCAGATTAAGTATCCTTGACTAGGAATCCCAAGGTCATGCAACAATATACTGTGTATTAACCTGTGCAGGTGATAGTGATACAGACTGATTCTTGTGACATATTTATTATATTTAATGAGCTTTTAAAAGAGTGAGAGACAGTAGATTTAGTTATCTAAGCTAAATGTATGGAAGCATATACAATGCATTATGCATTTAGTTGTTTCTGTAGCAAGAATTTAATGAAGTTATGGCACTTGAGAATCTCTGCTCGATTGCAGAATACTTATATGCAGAATTTGGGTACTGGAGGAAATGACACCATACTTAAGTTCCAGAGTTCCTTTACACATTCATATAGCAGCCTGACACTGTGTACAACACTCGACAAGTTGTGTACCAATCTCTGCCAAGTAGACTCTGCTCCACAAAATATGCACAATGCCAACACTGGAAAAGGAAGAGTGGCCACTGCATTTTAGGCATAACCTCTTCTTCCTTGCTCCTATATGGATCAGAGGGCTGGTCATGGTATAATTAACTTGCTTTTTCTTGCTTCTTGGCTAAAATATCTGCATTCCTTTGGATAGTCATTTGATAAATCTATTAATAACTTTTTCACTGCCTTTCTGAAGTAATTTGGCTAATGTGCAGAGCTGAACTTACAGCCAAGTCTGAAAGGCTTTTTTCCCCATTTAGAAATTGCAACTGTTCCTTATGTGCAGCAATAGTTTTCCCTTTGAAGAGAGTGAGATGGCTCTATTAGAAGAGCTTATAGTTTTTGGATATATCTCTTGGGTACTTTTACACAGAAAATGATCACATTGAAGTACTTATGAAAGGGAAACCCTTTTACCTGTTTTGAAGCTGGCATGGTGCACATCAGGTAGGTCTGGATGCCTGTGCTTTGTGTGCCTTTGCAGTGCCCTTCTCAGTAGGACAGGACAGCTTTGAGCACCATTAGAGGCATCCCTGCCTCCTTGTTATGGCTGTACCAACTTTGATCCTCAGCCTGGGAAGATGAAAAACCAGACAATGTCAACAACTGCAGTGGCTTTTTGTTAATTGTCAGACTGGATCCAAGAGAGAAGCACTTTTGTTGGGATTGTATCAGGACGTTGCCTCACACAAATGGGATGGGGGCAGCCTGGGCATGTGAGGGACAGCTTTGCCCCAGGCTGCCCTGTGGCTTTCTGTGGCAACGTGGTGGCAGAACCAGCTTGTTGGGGTTGGTGCTGGGGATGAGCCAGTGGCATTAAGGCAGCAGGCAAGAGGCTGCATGCAGCACCCACTTCAAGCTGGCATTTCTGTCTGGTCTGCAAGACAGGCAGCCTTGGTCCTGTCAGGCAGGGTGCATGCACAGCTGCCCATGGGGGGAAGGGTTGTCTGACAAACAGCAAGGCTGGTGCAAGGTTGATTGGAATATTTTCCCATAAATATTCTTTAAACGTAAATGATTGTGATGAAATCATAAAAGTAATTGGCTCTTGTAACTCCTTTTTTGAAAACAAATTAAGCCTAAAAACATGTAGAGACCTCCTTCCTTTCCAGAATATTATTGAAAATTAATAGACCATCTGAGCCTGCAGTACCATAAAGTCTGTATCCTTTTTATTTTTTTCCCTTGTACCTTCAGATTCATCTCCAGCAGCTCTCCATCTGTTTGCAGGCTGTTTTCTAAACCAGTGTGATGCCTCAGGTGCAGGAGAGAGAGACAATAATTAACAATGTGGCCTACAGCATCTTGGGGAACAATTAATTTTAGTGAATGGACAAGGGGAAGAAGTGGGAAGGTAAGCTTTGCTCATTTGTCTGCTTGTGCATTCACAGCTGGGCATATTGGATAGATGAACATACAGATATGTATATTCCTCTCCCAAAAAAGACTATTTTCAGCGTTCCAACTTTCACTCTTTCGCAGTGGCTGTTGTGCACAGAAGCTACTTGAAAATGACAGTGCCATCTGCACTGAGGAGATTAGGGGGTGTCAAGGAATACTCTTTTTCACTTCTCTCATTCCTGCTTCTCTCCATCCTGTCCCTGGAAAAATCCCAGCTTTTAACCTGTCAAAATAGTTTTAAAGCTGGTCTCTGATGTATAGAAACCTGTGAGACAGAACCATGACAGCTATGTACTGTCAAAGGAGTATGACTGCTCAAAAAAAAGAAAATCCAATACAGCTGAATAAAACAACAGGCAAATGTAGGAGTCTGCAGTAGCATGTGGGGTAGTTCTTTCATGCATATGAAAGATACATTGATCAGAGAATACTAAATATAGATATAGGAAGACCATTTTACTGGTTTATACTTGGAGAGATTATAAAGTGTATGTGCAGAACTGAAAATTAAAGATCTGCACATCTGCAGAGAGGTTAAAAATGAAAACTGTATGATGAATTAGGGTTTTTTCCTGCAAATGTATGTCCTGAAATTAGAAAACTGAATCCATTTATAAGCTCTTAAATGCAAGTGGCCTCATTTCCAATGTGCTAAGCAGCCGCTGCTCTGCCTGTTCCTGTTATTAACACTGGCTCCATTCTGGAAAACAGCTGGCAGGAAGGAGATCCTATAGGATCTCCTCTGACACGTCTAGTTGGCAAATAACCACTTCCAGCTGCAGGACCTACGTGCCACGTGAGTACAGCTGGAGATATGGGGAAGTGCTGCTGAGCTTTCTGGTTGTGTAATCTCCAGGTAGGAATCCAGCAGAGATGCTGAGGGAGGAACCCCACCAAACTTGACTCCTTTACTCCTTTTTCACATCCCTCTGTCCCTTCCTCTTCACACACTGGTGCCCATGCTGAATGCAGAGACTATTTGAAGCAGCAGAAGAAAGTTGCTGTGTGGTTTTTGAGAGTGAGATATCACAGATGTGACTGCTGAGTTCTAAGTGAGGCATGGAAAACTGAGGTATTTCAAGACTGGTTCATCTCACAAGTGCATGGTCACATTTGGAAAACAGCTGTACTAATAACAGGCACCTGAAAGCTTCATCATAAGCCTAAATTTAGGTGGTTTCTAAACACCTGACTTTATTCTGGAATTTTGTAATTTAACAAGTGTGTGTGCAGTAGAGAGGAAACAATGTGCCCCACTGGAAAGGTAGCAGTGCATTCGTCCCTTCAGAGAACAAACTCATTTGCCCTTTCCCTTTTAAGTCTGCTTATTCAAACAATTAAGTAAACTTAAAAGGCATCTCCTCTGAGCTACTTTCATGTTTCCAGGCAGTAACATAAATGAGGATCAGCAATCTAATGCAGAACTGATTTGAACGTGTTTGCATGTTATTAGGAAGCTAAAAGGTTTATTCATGCCTGTAGCTCTGTATGTATGTAGAAACAGCTGCATGAAGGAGGCTCCTGTTGGCTGACTGCTCCTTGTGCAAAAAGAACCCCTAAACTTGGGCATTTTCCTCTTCCAAATGTGCAGGCTATGACAGCAAGGAGGACTACAGAGTCTTTCAGGACGTAAAGGCTGTCATTTGTGCATCCGAGAAAGGACTGTACTGGAAAGGTAGAAGTGTTTTTAATAAGGAAATTACATGCTGGGAAAGAATGGGAACTCCTCTGGAATGTGCGGAGTGGATTATGTTAATATCTGCACATCAACTTTGCCCTCTTGATTCACTTCATGCTGCATCAATTATACTGTAACTTTTCAAACTGCTGTCTCTAAGTAGCATTGTTAACTATAGCCAAAGGTTGGGAAAAGATCATCCTTTTAAAATTTGATTGCTTGCTCACCAGGAAAGCAACAAGAAGGGGAAGAAACGTATTACTAGGTCATGTAGAAAAATAGAATTCCATCTATTTTCACTTCTAAATAAAATAAAATAAAATAAAATCCCCAGAAATTCTCATTTTTGACAATATAAAATATTGCAATGTAAAATATAATTTTGGTTGTAATGTATGCATTATATTGCACAGAAGTATAAATATGTATCATACAGAAGCTCTTTGCCAAAATGCACCATTTCACTCCCTTAAATGTGCTTACTCAAAACCAATTTTATATGGGGAAAATCATAAAAATCCATAGATTCCCATGAATTTTCTCAAACTGCTCAAGCTGCTAACTCTAGTGGAAGATGTTCAAACATTTCCAACTTGTCATAAGTTCCACAGGCTTATTTTGCTTTAAAATGTAGTTTTGCATGCCTTGGTTTGTATTACTCCTTTTTTGCATTATGTATAGAAATGAGTTTATGACCTGAAAAAGAAAGCAAATGGTAGTGTAGGGACCTTTTCCATAATGAAGAGAGTAGGGCATAGAGCAGACAAAGCAACTCCCAGTGTGTGAGCTTTGCACAGCTGTAACTTCTGTGATTCACTGATGTTTCTTTCAGTTCTTTCAGTTCTTGGTCAAATGGCTGCTGAACATAAAGGGTGAGATGCTCTTAACTCAAACTTTTAAGAGACTTGTTAGCAAAGCAAGTGTCTTTCTCTTTCATATCACTGGGGGTAATTTTACTGCCTAGAAGAATATCAGTCTTCCATGATCCGAGGAAACCTTCCTCAGAGTTAAGTATTCACTTGTATGATTATATGCAGACAAGGTTCTGACCTTCTGATATTAAAAATAACATAAAAACAGCTGCACACATTACCCCAGTGAGTAAAGTGTGAGAAGGAAGAAAAGGCATAGTGGGAGTGAAATCCTCAAAAGATTTACTAGGGAAAAAAAATCCTTACTGGAAAAAGCATGCAATCATTAGTAATCAAAGAAGAAACTAATATAAAGAAAACAGTACGAAGGTAGCTGTTGAAAAATTAGAATTTGGACATAGGGGAGAGCAACATGGAAAGAAGTCTCCTCCCTGAGTGACGACAATCGACCTAAACAGGGCACTGATGACAAGACAAGGATTCTCCTTCTGAGAGGTGAGACTTGGGTGAATCTGTTTTCAGATGTCTCTGTGTGTGCCCCAAAGACAGAACAGACAAAAATCCCCAAGCAAAATCAAAAACAATGACAACAAAAAACAGATGGGAGGAGAAATTCTCATGAAAAATCATTATATAATTTATTATTTCATTGAAATTGTATGAGCCCAAGGAATTCCAAGACTGTTTGGTCCTGAAATAACAAGGCACAGAAGAAGGAATAATCTTGTAGCAATACTGGAAAGGTTCATAAATTATTTTGAATGTGCCTTGTTGAAATAGTCTTGGTTTCAGAGAGAACTGGTTCCTTAGTCCTGTGTAACGATGAGCCTGGCCTACAGCAGTAAGAAAGGAGGAAATTAAATGAATTATAAAATGAAATTCAAAGTAACACTAGTAAGAAAGATGGGGTTTTTTTCAGTGCTTGTGTCCTTCCTCCTTCTGGCATTCCATGATGGTATGATAAAGCTCCTATATATGGAGCAAAAATTAAGGAGAAGAACATTAATAAGAAGATAGATTCTTCCTCCTGCCTATTTGCTGTCAATGATAGACCTTTTCTTTTATACCACTGCCTAAGAATGTCTCACAGTTCTGTATTCCCTGTCTGCTGGCCTACAGTGGTTTCTTAGCCATGCTATGCATATTTTAGCTCATTTAATCTTTCCTTTGAAGTCATTCCCTCCAGCTCTTTGTCATTTGCCTTGCTTTTGTCTGGATCCCTTCCAGTTCATCCTGGCATGAAGGTAGACACATGGCAGTGTTTGGGGTGTGCTTTCAAGAATATGCCATCAGGAAGGGCTGCCCAGCCCCTGCCATCTCCCAGGAGGACTTGGTAAACCCATGGGATCCCCACTGGGGTCCTGGTGCTCTCCTGCTCCTAAACTCTGTATTACAGACTGCACACAGTGGAGCTCCTGATAAAAGTGCAATTTGCACTAGCTGTTAGTTTGGGCTTATTTTTTTTTGTTGTTACTGGATACCACAATCCCAGTTCTGACTCTTCCTCCTGTGTATGCTGCTCAGATCTTTTTCAGCCTTGCTACCTTTCTGTTCCCTTTCTCCCATGGAGTATCTGTCCTGCAGTGTATGATTCATCAGATTTGCTCCTCTGCATTTTTACAGTTTGGATCTCCTTCAGTGTTTCTAGACAATTTCATGAGGCTCCTTAGTGCATTGCCTTAGGTATTTGTGTTTCTCCTCTGTGGGCTCCTTCCATGAACTAAGAAATTGTTTTTTGTCTGGATTTTATGACATCAAGCCACATAGTGATGCCCACATTACAAACAGCAGATTTTGGCTCAGTGTGCTGCTCTTTTTGAATGTCCCAAGTCTCTCTCCAGAGCCTTAGTCAAGAAGACAGGCTGTGTGGATTCTCAATGTTTTTCCCTGCTCTGCTTCTCATTTGGAACTCAAATTAACTAACAATTCTGTCCAGTACTTTTTGACCTCCAGTGATGCTTAAAAAGTGGGTTCTGCAGCCTTGAATGTGAGAATATAAATACTGGAGGTCTTTTAGATTGCTTTTTAAATGTCTGCTCAAGACTGGGCATTACCAGAGGGGTCCAGGAGAACTCCATGGAGTATGTGCTAGGGGCTGGTCAGGGATTTCCACAGCCCCCAAACAGCATGGGTTGCCTGTGTTTAGGCATCTGAATCCTAGGCAGGTGTCCAAATTAACTCTTCCTAAGGAGCTCCTTAGCATTTGCTAACTAAAAATAGGATTTAGGCATTTGTGAATGCCTACATGTAAATGTCTTCGCATCAAACTGAATTCTTTCTATGATGTCAAATGTGTAACTCAACAGAAATTATCATGACAAGATAGAAAAAGATACAACCACATCCAGATTTGATCTGTTTAATTTTTTAAAATTTTCTTGTTCAGATACCTGCACTAATTGC